TGAAATACCCTTACCACGAAGACTAGTTTTACTCGTACAGTAGTCATGTCACGGAATTTAAAAGATTTCTCGTACGTGGATCTACAATCATCGAATATTTTCAAGCCATGTGTGGCCAATACGTTCTGTATGACTCAATGCATCATAGATCTTCTTCGCCGGGGAGACGAAAATCGCTACGTTACACTGTAAACTCATTGCGTGTGATGACTATTTATGTCAAAAGTTATTCTGTGAAACGATCAGGTAAATATATATTTTAAATCATAGTAGCGTAGTCCGTCATTTTTTGAAAAAAACAAACTGTACGTCGATCAACCGATTTTGCATACTTTGCATTTTAGCGGGTTTATAACCGCGGTTTTACGGGGTGGGGTGACTCATACTTTTAAATTTCCAACACATAACCCTCTTTATATGACTATCGGCTTTTAATATTATTCTCTCTCTCTCTCTTTTTCTTGTACGACAGATGAGCGATTCTGATTAGAGTGGTGGAATAAATAAAGTTTACAGACTGCTTGACTCATTGAAAGTAATAAATGTATAAATGAACAACATATGTATATATAGAATGAATTATTTTTTTATTTATCACTGTTTACTGTTATTGACTTTTCTTTTCTATGTTTTTAATCGAATCGTTTATGTACTCGTATTTTTTTCGTGGCGTTAAAAATAAATTGAACCACGCCACACATTTACATGTATGTACGTATTTTTCGAGGTGTTAAGAAATATTTAATCATGCTAAACATTCGCACGCTATGCAACTATTTTCCTTACTCTCATCGTATGTTTTTTCGTGGCGTTAAAAAAAATACTCCACCACGCCATAAATGTATACTTCATGTCAATATTTCATTCTTGTTGACTTCTTTTCTGCAATAAATTCCGTTAGTTTTCAAAATGCCGTGGTTTTATTAGCGTGTGTGTGAGCGCCCTCTACGAAACATTCTGAAAAATCTTTTCTGACGTCCATGCTCGTCCAATTAAAAAATAATTAAAAAATTTAATTAAATAAATAATAATAAAAAAAATATTTAAAAAATGATGGTAGTTTATGCAAATGTATTCACGATGACCTCGACACGACCTCGTATTCACATTTATTTTATATAATCGCACCGGTACTCAGGCTTGTACCGGCGAATAGATCATTTTCCGTTCACTGCGAGAATCACGCGTTATGCGTGAAATCGAACATAAAAACAGGACAAACAAAGGTCATAGCGTCGTAGTGGCGTTAAACATCGCGTGGGATTCGACAAACGCGAAAGTATTTTGGGGACATTTCCATGCTTAATAATGTGCTGTCCACATTTGATGATAGGCAATTTCGATTAAGTAAGGGTATTCGGAAGCAATATTCCTCTGTCGAAGATCGGCCGGTCGGTGTGAGCTACGAAATAAGGAAATTCGAGTTCAAAATCAAATCGTTCGATTTTTGCGGCAGACGTTCGACGCGCGTCTTTCATGCATCTCGCGAGATCTCGCAATTGTACGGAAAATCTCTATTCTCAGGCAACGGGGCGCGTGACCCTTGTTACGCAAGATCTTGGTATCGGCGGTATGACCCTCGGGGGTACGTTCTCGACCCTGGAACAATGTTCGTCAAACTTCGGGCGAACATGGGCGAGCGCGTTCGGTCATTACGAACATAGTTCGCGTGTCAAGAACAGTGCACCCAAACGCACCCAGTGCAAGCACCCAGTAAGAAGCGAGGCGCAGTACATTTATATAGCGCCCTCTATGGTTTCTTTATTAGGATGATCGTGAATCTCGGACTTTAATAAATGACCACACATTTCGTGACCGAGTTTGAAAATCATGGAAAGTACATTTCAAATTCAAATTGTAGTTATTATTGTAATTTTTAGTAAAAGGAATTATCATAAAACAACCATAATACTGTCACGCTCGCGGTCTTGTGACATAGCAACGATACTTTAGCAGCGCCATTTAAACGTCTTCCACAAGACAATAGTATTTTAATGTTGCAGTTCATTACCCAATCGCACGTTTATAAATGAAACTCCTTGCGTTTATAAAATCCTGGCATCTGATTGGTGGGAATGGCCAAGCTATGTTAGAATGTTTTTTATGGATCGACTCGTTTCCTTTTACGTTTTAATTAATAAACTTTGAATTATACACCGGGTTCTACGAAGGCGAGAATTTGTTCTATAAAAAAATGTTGTAAATTTGAAATGGCGATTGAAAGCAACTTGGCTAATCATACACGTAGTGGATGAATACCATCTGTATACAACTACACCCGGATATTTAACCTTTAACCTTTAACCTTTCGTTTGATACCGCCTCGCTTTTGAAATTCAACGTTCTGTGCCAAATGATGACAATAGTTTTTTTTTCTTCTTGTACTAACATTTCTTTAAATTTATTATAACGAACGAATCACTGTAAGGTTTAGCTTGTAATTCAGCCATTCCGAGTACACTCAAAAATGACCTGGTGAGTCATTATGTAACTATGTAGTTGTCACAGAAGTGTGTCATTGGCTGTCTCCATAACTTCAGAACATTACCATGGGAACTCCCATGCGCAGACTGGCTCGTACGTCCACAGCCCCCCCACCCAAATGACTGATTCACCAGTCTAGCATTTGCTTTGAATTTTAATAAAACGAGAGTAACTTTCGGGATAAGTGTTTTATAAATATTTATAAATGTTCATAACAAAATTCACGTATCCATGAAACCAGGTGTACATAATAGTGGTAGAATAAATTCAACTATTTTTATACTTAGGGATTGGTCAGTTACTTCGGCCTAGGGGGGGGGTCGGTGGATCAGTAGGGGGGGGTTACCCAGTTTTTGGTTGTGCGAATAGGGGGGTCACCCTGTTTTTGATATCATGTTTTCCACAATTCACACACGCGCTCATGCATATATTTTATAAAATGTTATTTCAGAACAAACGATAAAAAAGTTAATCGTACAAATGTGTTTTTAATAATAACTATTACCTATATTGCCTATAAATTTGTTGATGCAAAAAATGTTATAGGCTAAATATTTTGAGGTTAAAGTTGCCAAATAACTAACAGATTATGCAATGCGGCTAGAACCCCAATTATACAGTTAAGTTTTAAACACATCCCAAGTCCATGTGCTGCTGATATCAGATTGTTTTATTTCAAGTCTGAAGTCACCATTGTATAAGATATTTACTGGATTTATCCAATTATAACAGGAGACGGAAAGACAACACAGCATTTAGTACAAAGAGCAGTGACAATTTTTGTTCAGCAAATCAAAACAGTTAAAATTGTGAAAATGCTGATATATAAATGATGAAAAAATAAATAAATATATTTTTTTGTTTTTTTAACTTTTAAATATGCATATTTTGCTCTGTAAAATACCAAAATCCAACACAAATTTAAGCAAAAATCAAAGTTTCCTTTGTTTTCATAAGCACAGATTGTGTTTTGGGTGTAAAGCTTTCCTGGTCTATAAGATATGAAAGATATTTTAAATCCAGCTTAGTTTTCAAAGAGTTCAAACCGCCTAGATTCAAATCCTCTTTTCCTATCTTATAAGGGCGTTTATCAAGTGAGTACTCCACAGCTTTGCTTTTATTTACTATCTTTAGCAGCATAGATTTCCCTCCTTCCTGCAGCCGTTTCTGTAGTCATTTTTTGGCTTTAAGATTCCCCTCCCCTCCTAAGGTCTATTAAATGCAAACGCTAAAAATTATGTCAAAATTATGGCAAACCATGATATTTTCAATGCACATATAATACATTTTGTAATCATGTCAAAGCCCAAACTGTTAATGTTTCTTTGTTTTTTTAGGGGGGTCAGCATGTTTTAAGTTTTAAAATATAATGTTGGGGGGGGGGGGTCACCCACTTTTTTTTATTTGATAGGGGGTGGGTCAACTGAGATTTACAGCTGGCAAAATGGAATCTGCCGACCCCCCCCCCCCTAGGCCGAAGTAACTGACCAATCCCTTAAAGCTAAATGCATTTACCATTTTGTGTAAAGAATACTTATTGATGCTACGGGTATGCCACCTCTTCCAGAAACGTACTTTTCGCACTTCATATAGCAATAATAAACTTAGTATAGAAATACATATATGTATTTCAATACCATGTTTCAAAGAAATCAACTTGTGTAGTATAAAATAGAGACTCTCCAACGTACTGGTAGAAAAACTACAACCATAATATCTGGCTGGTGCCTCCATTGACAAAGTTGCATTGAAGTTATTGTTTTTTATCCCTCTAAGAAATATCTTTATGATCCGTCCTTAATAATATTTGATGTCACTGTTATTTAGTTCAACGTGTAGGTCCTTCTTTGTTTCGATGTGAGATGATTTGGTGTGTGACTTGCAAAAATGTTGATGGCTTTTTGTTGTTGGTAGTGAAACAAGGCGCAGAAATAGACTTGAGTTCGTGGTCAAATAACCGTCCCTCTATGTCTGTATAGGGGCCTTGGTCAAATCTGTTCAGGTTGTCGTAACATGTCAACACTATGTGCCAAACCACTGTCCCTCAACGGTTGACAAACACAAAGTTCAGCTGCTGAGCCCCAGAGTGCCTAATGCGACTGGGGGAAGTCTCGCAACATTTGAAATTTCGTCGGGTCGTGTCGGTAAACAACGCTCTGCAGAACGCTCCATAAGTTCGTTTATTTTTTCATTCAAATTGAACTGAAATACTGCACTATGAAAAGCGACAATCGGGATGTTTATCCCATTTGATGGCTAGTACTGACTGACTTGCATGCAATTATGTAAATGAAAGGTTGTTCATATATCGACTATAGGGCAAACCTTGACTAGATTGTTTATGTTTTCGTGTCTGTTCGGAGTACGATCAGATAACGTGTTTGCCAAGAGATAAAACACAATACTGATGAAATAGCAAAGAGACGCGATTGGTCTGTTGTTCAAAATTGTTTTAGACGTCATCAAGTGAAAAAATAGCAGCCTTGATCAGTTAGTACTAGTAATCTGATGATGAAGTTGCTTGCTCTGTGTTTCGTGATTTTTTTAAGCTACGCCGCGGCCCAGCGTGGCTGGTACCATGGTGGCATGGACCGACATTACAGGGGTGGCCACGGAATCGGGATGGGTGGAATGCCGTGGTGGGCCACTGACGACGCGGAGTCAACCGCTAGAATGCCATGGTGGGACGCTAATAACTGGGGTGGCTACGGAGGTCATCGTGGCTACGGAGGTCACCGTGGCTATGGAGTCGGGATGGGTGGAATACCATGGTGGGCCACTGACGACGCGGAGTCAATCGCTAGAAGGCCATGGTGGGCCACTGACGACGAGGGGTCAGTCGCTAGAAGGCCATGGTGGGACACTGACGGCACGGACGCATCTTGGACAAGCGGAATACGACGAGGGTCAGGTGCTTCTGACTGGGACAGTACGTGGACAAGGCATTTCCCATGTTGGGGCGGCGGACCATGCATGAGGAATGAACAATGGGGGACAACTGACTGGGGCGACGATTTGTCATGGTTAAGTGACGACTCTCAGGTCGCCGACCCCGAATCGGACTGGCAAGCTCAGGCACCAGGAGCGAGACTAGGCAGATCACGTCATCATCGTATGGGCCCTGGACATCGGGGACGGGGCATTTTTTCAAGACCAAGCTCAATGCCGCAACAGTGGTGGGATGGGTAAGTCTATTTCAAATTTATAATGAAATCAAACGGAAATGAAATGTTTCTATAGACCCACCGTGGAATAACCTTGGAGCATCTTCGAATATGTCTGTGCCATTTTCATGATGACCTGTCCTCGATTCAGAAACATTCAGGTCTATGTGAAATTCACGGTAATTCATTGCAATTAATTATTTTGGTTCAACCAAAGACACAGAGAATACATTATACATCGTTATTCCATTACTAGTATTTTATTTTGTTATATATCGTATGCGATGCATACGAAATCGCTGAGTAAAACCAAATAAATGAAAAACAAGAATAAAAATAAATACAAAATAAAAGGATAAACAGATTGAAATTTATCTTGTCAATATACAATATTTCATTTTCACATCTATCAAATGAAATTATACATCGTATTTATTATCCTAAATCACTGACAAGCCTGTTACCCCGTTCATTTCCAGTCCGAATGTCTGCATTGAACGTAGTCAAAATGGATCATCTGTGTTTGAGGACATGTTCGACGGGATTCGTGAAGTGTTTGCTCCCATCATGCATCATCTAGGCATTGACATAGAAACTATGCCACGAACCATGATGCAGTACGGTACACGTGCACGCAGGAGTTCGTTTCTATCAAGTTGGCATTCTTCCAGATGTTCTGATCACCATGGCCATTACAGACGCTGTACTTCTAGGTATGTGTAATTATGTACGAGAAGTATTGGATTGAACTGGATTAAACTTGATTGGACTGGACCGGACTGAGTGTACTTTAAATATACAATATGGATAACGTATTTTTAATAATAATGTGTTTGACGATACATCTTGATATAAACAGTGTGAAAGGATTTATCGCAAAAAACCGCGGTTTTCGCACCAAACATAATAACATTATCTGTGATGAAATAATGAAAAGATTACTGCGCCTGCGCGGCGTCAACTTACCTGCCAATGTACATATCATATATTACATAATTCTCACTCATCAAAATTAAATATTAAACACGATCGCACTATTTTATTCTTAGAACTAGATTTCCTGGCGTTAACAGAAACACGTCGGCGACGTATGAATGCTGCTTTGGATACGGACGTAAAGAAGGCCTCGCCGGATGCCCCTACAGTGAGTACAGCACAGTCACATTTATTAGTAGTTGAACATGGTTCCGGTATATCGCAGTTATACGTTACTCATAAACTACAGAGAGCGCGCTTTTTCGCATGGAACAGCTATTCTTACTGCAAAGTAAAAACAAATGCCATTTTTTTAAAGAAGTATTATGGATGAGGCGTATTTTTAATATTAATGTTTGATAATATATATTGATGAAGACATTGTCTTTGACATTTATCATAAATTAATGTTCTTTCAATACTCTAAAACGTTCGATGAAATATTATACTTACATACAGTCTCATGTTTATTGTTTGGTGTGTGTTTTTTCAATAAAATACTTGAGTGTTAATCAGTGTTAACGCGAAAGCCGGTTTTAAATCGCAGTAACCCTGGCTTTCGCCATTTATACACTCCCATAATATTTTATTTTATTTCATCGAATACGAATACGAATACGAATACGAATACGAATACAATGCTGCAAAAGAAGGTACGGAAAATCATAAATGCAATTTGGTTCTCAAATTGTCTTCCATATTGCAATATACTATATAAGTAGTATTATACACTGTATTTTATTATTGTTTAGAATACGACCTCCAACCGCTGACCGATGCACTGATAACTATCCAAGTCAATGACTTCGCGGATTTTATTGACGGTACTGGTGTCAATGAACTCCTTAACGATGGAAACAATTACACGATATTTGTGCCCGAAAATGGGGCCATCGATGATCTTGCATTGGTAAGTGGAAAACTATTTGGTATTTGGCTTCTTTCCCGATCTATCGGTTGCTTTATGTCGAATCAGTGAAATGATAATGAAATGTTATCCAAAGTTATTCAACCATCGATATTCGAGTTCCCAGCGAGATATGGGCAAGATGAAAACGTTCCTGATCCAGAAAGCTGTTGTTCGATTATGACAATTTCCGCGGTACATTGACGTGTCTGAATCTATAATCACGCGTATAACTGAACAGCCTTGCTACAATCCTAGGCGATGTGACTGCCAATAGATTGTCCTAACAGTGGAAGTGTTATTGTTTTATGATAACAGACACAATTGTTGCTACTTGTTGCTATGTTATGAGTTATAACAAGCTGGAGAAGTGTTTGCCATGTATTTTTTGTGAGAAGAAAGTGACAATGAACTAGAATCGAGATGCAGCCTGTGATTGAGGGTGTGTATATGGTGGCTAATGTATATGTTATTGAATCAATTGTGCTTTACCGATTAACACAGATTAAATGCCATACGGCCAAGGCCTATGAAAACAAGACATGGCACTACTTGTGGTGACACAGAGTTTAACACTCCAGTCACTGTATTGTAATATACACTTCAATCACCTCAAATGACCCTTGTTTTCTGTCCTGGTTATACTGTCATCTGATAAATTCCAGCGGTTGAACCCCAGGGTTGAACGTACACACACAATTAGTATTTGCATAAATCACATGCCAAGTATCTATCGCAAGCAGTAGACATACGTTATTAACCACATCTCAACTGGCATCAGAATTATTATAGTATATTTAGTTGTCGTAGTCCGAAAATGAAGACTTTTAATTCGTTAGTCCGTCCGTTCGCTCCTATATCTAAGGCATGCCTCAACTGGGCTGATTTCATTAAAGCTTTACACATACATTACATAACTTATCATAAATATGCACACAAATTTGTTTCATGATCCAATCCGATCCAATCGCATTCAAACTTGACACATACATCACACATCGTGTCATACATAATCATGCATTTGTCTCATGATCCAATTCAATATGGCCGAATGGCGGCCATTTTCGTGCTAACAATTCATCAAAATCAAACATTTCTGCCATTCCTGAATAGGATCTCTGTCGTGCCTTGACATGTTTCATTCAAACTTGATATGTCCATTGAACACATTGGTTCCTTGATGCCGTCATTTTTTCAAATCGGATTGAAAACGGCCGACTGGTGGCCATTTTGTTTTAACAAATATAGTTCTAGAGTCTTATCTCTCCACATTCAAACTTACACATACATCACGCATTATCTCACACATAAGGACATGCATTTGTTTCAAGATCCTATTTAAGATGGTCGGATGGCGGCCTAAATTTATCCAAATCAACATAAACATATTTCATTCAAATTAGCTATATGATAGGCCCCCAAAATAGGTGGCCAAACAGAATAATGGAAGGAATCACAAAAATAAACTGGCTCTACTTTGTATCATGTCTCATGATCCAATTCAAGATGGCCGAGTGTAAATATTTAATTGTCACTAATGTTGAGAGTCACTAATATTTATTTGAGGATTTCGGCGTCAGAGTACGTCTTCCAATCTACCATATTGTTTATTCTACATATGTGGGATATATAATCATAAAGCATATCTCCACCTATCTATCTAACACATCACGGCCCTTTCAGGTAAATGCTAAAGTGTACAAATACCGCAAAATGTTTTTTAAAAGTTATTCACAAATTCACGAGGGATACGTAATCGAAACATTTGCTTTTAAATAGACAAGAAATCTGTAACTTCAATCTGCAGGGTGACATTGACGTTAATGATCTGTTCAGTGATATACAACTTCAGATGGTTCAGCGAACACTGAGAAGTCACATCGTGCCCGGTATTGTGCGAACCAGCCAAATGGAAGACGAAGAAGTGATTGAAAATATAGACGGCGACAAAATACGTATAAACTACTATCCGGACAGTGGACCTGAACTGGTAAGTAAACAACGTCGGTGGATTTAGAGTGCGTTTCTAGGGGGTCAGGACCCCTCAGAATGATTATTCATGTGCAATAACGTTTATTAGTATTACAAATCATACCCTTCAAATCGAAAGGGGCAGATATAATAACATTTTAGCGGAGGACAGAATTTGCCCAGTTTGTGACGAACAGGAAATTGAAACGAAAAACATTTTCTTCTCAATTGTAATTTATACAAAAAGGAACGAGAAATCATGATGTACAATATTAAATACAATAAAAGTAACTTGGGGCGGATGACGAAAAACTTATATACAAATATACTGAAAGGTAAAAATGACAAAACAATCATTGAACTAGGAAAATTCATCCACAAAATCTTAAAATGGCAGATGCCTCAACCAACCACCGAATAATTTAATTTTTTTTCTTCTTTTCTTTATCCAAATGTCTATGAATGTCTTGTGTTTTTTTTTTTTTATTGTATTTTCAACTAAGATCACACTCCGGAATACGGTTTCAATAAAGATTATTATTATGATAATTATTATTATTACAAACACCGCTGGGGGAAGGTCGCACGGACACAGACGTGAGTCATATCATGTGCTCAAGTTTTCGGACCATGTGTAAAGTATAAACAGAATCAACTAATTATGAATATTGTATAGCACGTATTCTCGGGGGCGGACATCCGGATGTGCTGCGCCATTTTTTAGCGGCATTGTGATTCTTGGATCTATAACAATCGACAGAGGGCGCAACCTATGACTGGAGAAAGTACCGGTAATTTCACGCGCGGATTTAGCCCCCCCCCCCCCCCCCTTCAGCCAGCAAAAAAAAAAAAATACAAATCAATTCATTGACAAACCCAGCCCACGTCAATAGGAGCGCCCCATTACCTAATTTCTGGTTCCGCCACTGAATTTGATATACAACCATGCACTATACGACTCAATATATAAAATGTTGTATTTCGTTTTGACAGATTGTGACGGCAAATTGTGCACGTATGGTGAAAGCCAACCAGTTTGCCACTAATGGTGTAATCCACGTAGTTGACAAAGTTATCACGCCCGCAACGAAGAGCGTCGCAGAGACAATCGCATCGCTTCCAGGGTTTGATATATTGAGAAATGGTAAGTGACAAGAACAAATATCAAATTATATATTATTATATTATATATATATATGTTGGTTTCAATATATGCACTTATGTGTTCGACTATACGCACGTTCGCACTTATAAATGAGTGCACACTGTATATGATGATCAATTTAAAAAATAGGTTTGTATTTATTATTTTGTTTCAGTAATTGAGAGGAGCAGTTTGTACGACTCGTTGAACGAAGACAGTCAGCTTACTTTATTTGCTCCGACTGACGGTGCTTTTGAACGTTTGGATTCAGAGCTTCTTCACTCCATCGTCAATGGTGACAGATGTCTAATAGGTGATCAGACTCACACTCACACTATATATTCAAACAAAATTAGTATTAGTCTTTTTATAATGTTGTTGTGTTCACTACACCCAATCATCATTGTTGGCGATCACTTGGTTTAGTGCTCGCATTTTGTTGCAATAACGGTCCTATAACCACACTTAAAAATACGGGGAATATGCTCAAGGTTACATTATCTTATAACAAAAGACAAAGAGAGTTTCGTAGCTCCCAGCGCCCCGTCCCTCGACATAATTTCTAAATGACTTATGATACATCTGGAAAGTTATTTTTGTAAAACTCGCCCTTTATATTCTCACAAAACAATGGTCACACGGTAGTGGATTATCTTTTGCCATAACATTGTAATGAAATGCCACATTGACTTATGTTTTCATATAGATGGCCAATGACCAATCTGATTAAAATAAGATCCTGGTTGGCTTAATTTTTTTAGCTCCGCTGTCGACTTTGTCGAGCGGAGCTTATCATATGAGTGATTGTCCGTCGTCGTCCGGCGTAGTCCGTCGTCGTCGTCCGTCGTCTGTGTCAATGTTTTACTTTTTCGACTTCTTCTTTAAAACTACAAGCCTGAATGCTTTGATACTTGGTGTATATGTACCTTGGGTAGACCTCTCTTAGGTTTGTTCATTTCATGTTGATATCTTCAATTCTCTAACTTTGGTGAATATTTTTGTCATTTTTAGTAAAAAGTGATATTTTCGACTTCTTGTTAAAAACCGCAAGTGCAATTGCTTTGATATTACATATATAAGTACTACATATGGACCTCTCTCAGATTTGTTCCTTTTGTAATGATATCTTTAATTCTCTAATTTTGGTGAATATTTTTGTCATTTTTGGTAAAAAGTGATATTTTCGACTTCTTGTTAAAAACCAATAGTTCAATTGCTTTGATATTACATATATAAATACTACATGTAGACCTTTCTCAGATTTGTTCATTTTGTGATGATATCTTCAATTCTCTAATTTTGGTGAATATTTTTGTCATTTTTGGTAAAAAGTGATATTTTCGACTTCTTGTTAAAAACTGTAAGTCCGATTGCTTTATACATATATAGATACTACATGTAGACCTTTCTCAGATTTGTTCATTTCGTGATGATATCTTCAATTCTCTAATTTTGGTGAATATTTTTGTCATTTTTGGTAGAAAGTGATATTTTCGACTTCTTGTTAAAAACTGTAACTGCTTTGATACTATACATATTCATTTTCTAATGATGTCTTCAGTTCTTTAATTGAAATGTGCATTGCTAACAGCGGAGCTATCTCAGCCGATAGGCTGCTTGTTTATAATTATTATTTATTTAAATTATTTTTTGACCGTCACGTTACAATAATTGATTTTCCGTACAATTGCGAGATCTCGCGAGATGCATGAAAGACGCGCGTCGAACGTCCGCCGCAAAAATCGAACGATTTGATTTTGAACTAGAATTTCTTTCTTTCGTAGCTTACATTGACCGGCCGATCTTCGACAGAGGAATATTGCTTCCGAATACCCTTACTTAATCGAAATTGCCTATCATCAAATGTGGACAGCACATTATTAAGCATGGAAATGTCCCCGAAATACTTTCGCGCTTGTCGAATCCAACGCGATGTTTGACGCGACTACGACGCTATGACCTTTGTTTATCCTGTTTTTACGTTCGATTTCACGCATAACGCGTGATTCTCGCAGTGAACGGAAAATGGTCTATTATTTCACCGGGATCTCCCGGTGGCTTTCACGAACAAAATCATTTTTGCAGCAAAATAATTGTAACCTCAAAAAATAATTAAAATAAATAATTGTTATAGTAAATAATTAAAATAAATAATAATTATTGTAATTATATAAAAAAAAAATAAAAAAAAATAAGCCAACCAGGATCTTATTTTAATCAGATTGGCCAATGACCTTCAATTTTGTATTTTCGCATTAACTTTCACGTAGGAACATATTTACTGTGTGAATATGTACTGGACACATTATATAATTACATTATCATGAGCTTGACGATCAGCTGGTGACCTCTCCTGAATATTGTCGCTGCATATTAATTATGGCAGTCACAATTTTCAAAGATTAATTGAGATCACAATTGTCACAATCCACAAATCCAAGATATCTCATCAATTATAATTCTAAACGGCCGCTATTTTTCCCAACTCAGTTTCTTTGAATTTGTTATTTGGAAGATATATTTGTTTTGTGATATCTCAAACTGCACATATACTGTAAAAGCGATTCGTGATTCAATATGATTTGCATCCAATACAACTTTCTAATAAGTTGCGCCCGCTATCGATGGTGCGTTGTCAATCAAATTGACAATTGTGTTTGGTTATGAATTAGTTCGTCATTTAGCTATTCCAGCTATTTCGAGTGTCGTTCTCAGTGCTCTCAATAATTGAACGGTGAATCGCTACGTAAATACGTAAACGGCACAGAATTCTGTGTCATCACTGATTTGCTGTCTCCATGACTTCAGTACATCACCATGGGAACACGCATACACAGACTGGCCCGTACATAAGGCCCACCCACAGCCCTTCAGACCGATTGACTAGTCTATTATTCATTGATTTTTCAAGTTTCAAGATCTATTCTATTCGTCATTTAGACTATTGCAAATCTACAAAAGCTGCATTGTTTTTATTGACGGGCGACCACTAATTTACATCACTTGGTCGACAGAGGGCACTATTCATAGGAACGGAACCTATTGAAGTTATCCTCATCTCTTGCTTTTGGATTTCACACATTTTACTCATTTAAAATCAATTCCTGTTAACTACCAATTCTTTGATAAATACCAATAGTCAACTTGAAGAAACCATTTTCTTTGATATCTCGACTATAAATACCATGGTTATACTTCTTGTTTTGTAACTCTTTTTTTTACACGATTCGACAGGACTGGTACAAAACCACGTGATACCCCACACTATATGTTCTTCGGCAATCACAGGTGAGCATATTGTGCGAACCTTGCTGGAAACAGTACTGAACATCTCCAGAACCGAAGACGACAAACTGTTTGTAAACAACGCCCAGATTGTTAATACCGATGTCATAGCAACCAACGGCGTTATCCACATCATCGATGAAGTTATGATACCCCAAGAAGGTAAGAAATAAATCTATTTTTCTAGACTTAAAAAAGTCTGTCTGCCATCTACAATCACGACAATCACGGTCCAAGCGTGATTGTCATGGTCACCAATCACGATTGTGTTTGAGCGCAGTCGAAAAAAATGTGACTTGGTTATTTACAATTCTTCAACAAGTTATGTTATTTTTTAAAGAGCTGGCATTGGTGCACAAAGAATAACTCACACAAGTTATGTAACGGTCATATTGAAATTTTAAACAATTGCTTGTGCTAACAACGAAAACATACGCTTGAAAGCAGTAAAGACATCACTAGTATAGTAAATACGGGATGAAAAGTAACAACATATAGGGATGGAGCCAGTTTACATCACACTATTCTACAAAATGTGCCTCCTATTTTGCTTTCAGCCTTCTCACTAATGGACTTACTTAATGGTGAGGTTAAACGGATGGTTGACAAATCTGAACTCGGGCTGTACTTGAGAGATACAAAAGATGTTACATTCTTTGTACCAACTGACGAGGCGATTCAGGTAACCCAATACAATTTATCGAAAGATCTAGTTGTTTTACGGGTTTATTCTACAGCGAAAATCAGGGCAGTTGGACAACCGGGTAGTGATGCCGTTTGTATTTTAATTAAAGCGGGGGAGTCGTCACCTGCGCATGCGTCCGATGGCCATAGCGTGTCATTGTTTACAAACAAGCGTCTACCCATGAATCTTTGCGCTTGGGACTCAATCAACTTGGGACTCAATTCCCGCGCGTGCGCAGGTGACGAACCTCCCGCTTTAAATGAGCCATGAATTGACAACACGCACTACCGATTATTACCGAACGGTCATAGTTAACTGCGCCCTCTATAATTCTATTAAAATATAATGTGGAATGTTGCATGTAAATTAGGCTCTCTCGCGTCAAGCTGATTATAAACATGGCTGATGTTGATAATTCTAAATGTAAGAGGTCATACTAGACATCGCCTGGTGATGATAAACTTGCCACTTTTTTGACGATGGACCTATAGATGCAATATCATACCGGCTGTACTTTTACTTTACTTCCAATTATTATTTCTGTAAATCACAAACAAAAACAAAATGTTGCGTTCTGCTCATGTTTTAATGACGAGATGAATCGATTTTCACTGTATCTCTAGTCAGCGAAGCCGAACCGACCTGAATACACCTTACTCATACATTATACCTACATACAGTTGCCTATAATTATATATTTTCAGATGAAATTATTGTTTAGTATGTGTCCGTCATCTATGTCAATTGTATACGTAAATTACACATTTCGTAACAATATCAGCTCGCTCTGCTCCAATTGAATCGAAGTATATATACAATTTGATCGTTGACAAACTGCTCTGTGATTGGTTCGACCAGCAATTTAATAACATCGCCTGGTTCATCGAAACTTTCACCTTCAGTCTTAAAGTTACTTACACCAAACGTAGTACACTGATTATGAAGTCTTGATAAACCTGATAATTATATCGAGAGTTCGAAGTCAGTCTTTTGTGTGAAAAAATAGCTTAAGAGTTTTCGTTCGTGGAAAATATCTATCATTGCCCCCCTCAACTACGTATTTATGATGGAGAATTTCCCTGCGCATGCGCATAAAATAATACCTTTCTTTGTTTATCATGATGTATGCAGGATTTACCTGAGGAAATGTTTGAAACGCTACAAGACAGTGGACGATTACGTCATATTTTGATGTATCACATCATAGCCGACCAATCCATGACATACAGTGATATTGGAGAGCGCATAAACGAAGAAATAACTACATCCAATGGAGAGACCATGAGAATTGGTACTTGCTCGAACGTAAGTATAATTCCATCAAAAAATAATAAAAACTATTATTAATACCAAAGGTACATTATTTGGGGTTTGCAAATAGCGTGACGTGATACCAAGATCCCATTTCAATCTCGCTCTCGCATAAGCATTCCCAACCCAGAACAATGCAAATGCAAATGCCCAAGGTAACTATGATACTGGGATGGATCAGAATAGTTGCACATGATAAGACGGATTACGAGAACTATATTTTCTGTACATTTTCGATGTATTACATTTTTCCACTATGATAGTGGTGAGACGTGTTTTATTAAAACCCTCGAACATTGATACTAGTATATGTCATGTCAGAAGGTCGTAGTATCAGTCTCACTATCTACGAGATGACCCTTGAATGGGATCTTGGCATGATGTCACCATACATTACTATGCGCGTTGCAAACTCTAAGTAATGTACCTTTGGTAATACTAAAATCATACCTACAACTGTATAACATCAATCTTATCATGTTTTTGCCAAGATAATTTAAAAATATAATAAAAAATAGATCTTATGTATCTTTGATTGCTCCATAACACGGGTTTGAAAATGGGTTATTAAGCTGGTGGCAAGCCGCTGCTCTCAATGGCGAGATCTGTAACGTCATTTCTGAACGTATGCACTGACAGTATCCGGGGACAGTATCTGCTCTCCACGAAGCGTTTGTTTGGATGGAAAACTCCAGCGTTAGCAAAAATGAAAATAAAATTTGATATGTATAGTATAACAGTTATAACGCCAGTTTGAGCCAACGTATTGTGCAGGAGATGGCAGAGAATGTTTGACGGAAAGTGAAAGTTCTGGCACAGTCCTTCTATCAGTATTTGAGTGCATTTGTTGCCAAGAAATATCGGGATTAGATTTTGTTGTGGTCTGAGTCGTGTTATGGCCACATTTTGTATCATGGTTGTTATCAGTCACGATTATCATTCGGTACATGTTACTTCCATTCTGGATAGGTCAGGTCATTTGCAAACAATAATTACGTAAATGAGTGAACGTCTATAGTTACTCGCGAGATCTCGACCGAAGCGGAAGATAGCCTATTGCATTGTCGTCTAATTATTATTTCGTGGTCCCAAGAATGGGAGCCGCGAGAAATAACCAATTGTCATGTACGTGGCGATGTGTGAAATGAATCAGTTCGCTCCAAAGGTGTGCTAAAATCTGGTCTGACTCGCGTACATCTATATGTACTATTACATGCATACACTTCAGAATTACAAACAAAATAAAATGCTGGTTTAGAATACATGGATGATGGTCACTGTTTTCTAAATGCAGTGATAGACTGAACAAATTGAAACAAGGACAGGGTGCCGGACAAATCTGGCTACATCTGCTTTAAAGAAAACGCTTTCCCGTATTGAACATCTTAAAATTATGTAACCAGTATTTCTTTTTCTTTCACTTGTTTGTTCGTTGTATATCGATATGTTGCTTAATAAATGGAAAACACAGAGGTGACAAATTACCACGAAAAGAACTTTCTTTATTGAGAGTACTAGTACTTGTGATAAAATAGTTATCGGACCACAACACACACAAGACGGCAATCAAATAAAAACACAATGTCTTCGGTTGTACCAATCAAAGGTGTGTGAAAGTATGCCCATTGTTTATAATCTGAGTCCAATGCACCAACTATAACACGAATCATTTCCTGTGTTGAAAATACATAGAATCATGGCTGATATTAGGAGCTCCTGCAGACTACTTTTCATGATAGAAGTGCGGCGAATTCAGTGTATTCACAAGAGCACCAGGTTCGATTCAATTTAGTGAAAATGTTTTCTGGCAGAGAACAACACACAATTCAACCATCTGTAAGACACAATATAGACTACTGGCACTTGATAGGGGGTGGAGTTTTGATAAAACAAATGTAATATATACATTTGACCACAGTCCCTAGATAGATAGAGGGACTGTGATTTAACATTGCAATCATTGTTTATTTGCCTCTACAGTCGATTGTAAGTTTATACCATGGTACTGTATTTACGCGTCGGTTGTTATGATCAGCGCACACCAATCTGCATAATATCGCAGTATTCTCGTAATAACATGATGATAATGCTCGGAGCATAATTATGTGTGAGATAATGTGAGATTATTTCATTTGCAAATTTTACTTAACCCTCTGCCTCTCAGGTCTTTGTCACTGGTAATTTAATAACATCTAACCCCTCTCAAGTTTTCTCTCGAGTCATTGTTGCAGTCAGTAATTGTAAAATTTAATAAGGAGACCGTGAAAATCAGCATTGCCGCTTTATCGTTCGGGATACTTTTCCACGTGTTACGTACAACCCCACAGTTGTACTAAGAGATTTTGTATTTCTTGTTTCAACGTACAACACCATCATATCAACGTCTATATTCATACATTATTTAGCTCTGCTGTAAATCTCTCTATCCAAAAGATGAAGTGAGGTGCATTATTACGTTAAAGGGCGATGGTCGTCGTGCCGCGCATGTGCGACATTTGTGTTGACAAACATTGAGTTTTCCACAATCCAATGCGCTGATCTAATGGAAATCACGAGAACGAATTTGGACCTGGGCGCGACATGCACTAACTGCCGTCGATGACTACTCCGATAACTTCCAATCACCAAGGAAATTATCCAGTTAAAGCTTGGTAACGTCTCAGTCAAAGTCGCCATCTTTGTTCACATGAGACCTATATCTCACCGACCACCGCCCTTTAAAATCGCTTTCTCGAACATTTATCCACTCAAACGTAAAATTGATAAGATTGCAATTGTCATAGTAACTTTTGTAACCTTTCACAAAATATTTTTTTTTTCCATTTTGTCAACTTGGTATTCCTAGGTGTTGCCACTCAGCTCTCCAAGAAGGCTTACTGTAGAATGTGCTGACATAGTTGAGGCTGATATCCAGGGATGCAATGGCGTAATTCATATGATTAATAAGGTATGTGCTGAAATACTCGATTTTGATATCAAGGGATGCAATGGCGTAATGTATATGATTAATAAGGTATGTGCTGAAATACTCGATTTCGATATCAAGGGATACAATGGCGTAATTCATATGACTAATAAGGTATGTGCAGAAATACTAGAGTTTGATTTCCAGGGATGCAATCGCATAATTCATATGATTAATAAGGTATGTGCTGAAATAGTAGAGTTTGATTTCCATGGATGCAATGGCGTAATTCATATGACTAATAAGGTATGTGCTGAAATACTAGAGTTTGATTTCCAGGGATACAATGGCGTAATTCATATGACTAATAAGGTATGTGCAGAAATACTAGAGTTTGATTTCCAGGGATGCAATGGCATAATTCATGGGAATAATAAAGTATGTGTGTGAGTAGTTAATTCTATGGATGCTTTGGCGTAATTCATATGATTAATAAGGTATGTGACAAAATAATGCAATGGTGTAATCTATATGATTAATAAGGTATATGTCAAAATAATGCAACAATGTAATTCATATGATTAATAAGGTATGTGACAAAATAATGCAATGGTGTAATCTATATGATTAATAAGGTATGTGTCAAAATAATGCAACGATGTAATCCATATGATTAATAAGGTATGTGACAAAATAATGCAATGGTGTAATCTGTATGATTAATAAGGTATGTGTCATAATAATGCAATGGTGTAATCCATATGATTAATAAGGCATATGTCAAATAAAGCAATGGTGTAATCCATATGATTAATAAGGTATGTGTCAAAATAATGCAATGAAGTAATTCATAAGATTATTCGGGTATGTGCTGAAACAGGTGAGTCTGATATCATGGAATTAATGCAATGGAGTTACAGGTACAAGTTAAAATAGTTGAGTTTAATATCCAAGGATACAATGTGTCAAAATAAAGGGATCAAATTTTGGATAATAATAATGATACTGATAGAAATGTATCATATCAATCAGGAGCAATTAGGTCACTACAATTCAACAGGAATGAATCAATAGTACTTAATTTATATTTTTTTTTTCAGGTTCTGATTCCACCATATAACAGTATAATGGAAATTATCAAAACCGACCCATCATTCTCTATTCTATTAAGAGTAATCAATTTCATTGGTATTGGGGAAAAACTTGAAAAGGAAGGACCTTTCACAATTTTTGCTCCGTCAAATCAAGCGTTTGAATCCTTGGATCAAGATTACTTGGAGAACCTTTTCAATGATAAGAATGCATTCACTGATGTGATAAATTACCATATTCTAGATGGTGAGTGGAACATGTCTTAGTTAAAAACAAAATTAAACATATGAAAAGTGTTATACATCTTTTTATCATCGTATGTTGGGACATCAGAAGCAAGCAACACACAAAATGGCATCAGAGAGAAGGAATATGCTGAGAGGCCAATATCAATATTTATCAAACAATCACGTGACCACTTTTGACCAATAACATTGACTTTCTCATACTTGCATCCTAATAAAATTCAATATTTTCAATTTGTATGACAGATGTTGTATGTAGCAGTCAACTGGCCAAATCAGCGTGGTGGTTTCCGCTGCGTTTACCAACCCTCAATGGCCAGCGAATTCGTTTCTGGAATGGTCAACGTGGAACAATGATGAATGATGCACTCATCACGGCAACTGATACCATGGCAACCAATGGGGTCATCCACACCATCGACAAGTTGCAGCTCCCATATTAACCCATTTAATTTGTAAAATGTACGAAGGCTTCAGCAGTTATGTTAATGAAGCACCACTGATATGCAAATTTTATTAACTCTGGGCGTGTAACCCATTTTCGATAAATACAATTTATGCAGTAGACTGATATAATGGATCAAAATCCTGTTAGACTTTTGAACATTTTGTATATTATAGATTTTTTTATTGATAATTATCTGTCGCAACATTTCCATAATTCTGTGAAATAAATAGGGAGTTTATTATGCCCAGGATATTGTTTGTTTTTCATGCAGAAATAAATAGGCTAACCTAATATGAGAACAAGTGACCCACTGCTTGAATGACCTCTGCTGTCCTACAAGAACATTGGAGTAATGCACACCCAATAGTTTGGTTCTGGCTGTTAAGAAAATGCCCACCTAATTCATTACGACAAATTTTATATGCACATGATAGCACAGTTGTAAGGTCAAATATCCAAATATACCATCCCACTAACCTCAAAAACGTATGTACAGTATGTATTGGTCAAAAATGTGTTTCCACCGGATTATGGGTTGAAAATTGAATTTTATGGTGTAATTACCTTACTTAACAGGCTAAGCACAAAAATTAAAAAAAAATCAACGAACAATGCTGCTTGAAAATGAGAAGACGTCCAGTTTGGTGAGCACAGGCCTGTATGGAAAAGATGCAAAATTACCCCAGGTCTCGTGTTACTAATCAACTAATGGCTGCTTGCAAGAACCAATGAAATTTTTTAAGTATTTTTTTTTTCAGGTGCTCCCTGTTTGAGGGCGTCATCACCTGGGTCAAAGGTGAGACCAACATGTGGTCTTTTGTTTACTACTTAGCGGCTGTCACTGTGTACCTGTGGGTTTAATGTGCATGTATTTGAATGTTCTAATCTTGGTGTTTTTCCAGTGATTTCTCTAGGTGCAATCCAAATACAGTAGGTGTGTCTCGTTTACCTGCGATTTGTAAGAGTTTGAGCTGGCCAACATGTTAGTTTTTTTCTTGTGGTTGATTACTGGCATGTTGATTTCCCATTTTTGAGCCATGTTTTCAAACTTATTCATCATTTTCATATAGCAATCTCGTCATATGTTAACATTGTCGTCTACAGAGATTCAATTAGTGGTATGAGCTCCCCAAAGCATCCTCTGTGGTTAAATTGTTCACTCATAATCCTTTGCAAAATTCAATATGGTGGAAACGCATTTCTACCCTATACAAGTGGGATTTGTTTTTTGAGCCAATAAACAGTCCAATAACATCCAGTGAAAACAAAATAATGTGTACAGTTTTACACCAACAGTTTCTAATGGTCCATTCTAAAAAATATACATTGTACACAATCGTTAGATGTTTTAACTTAAATATAGAATCATATGGTGGGAATGGGTGAGACTGAACTATTGAACAGAGGCAAGAAATGAAATTCAAAGTTTAATATCATAATTCAAAAGTGCAACTGTATACTGACTGGAGCAATGACAAGTCCTTGACACATGCATCTTAATAATCTACATAAATCATGTTCTAATTTAATATTATAGTAAAAATTTCTTTTGACTAACCATGATAGGAAATTTAATGTGAAATTGTATTTACAGTGGAAATTATGTTGATTTTGTTCACTTCATTCAAGTTCACATTCTGTAAACACATATCACGATGGCTGCCATTTTATTTGTTTGCTCGATATCTTTTGTTTCTTTACTCCACAAATTTATGGTCAAAATGGCCGCCATCTTGGAATTTCTGTTTAGGGTAAATGAAAGAGAAGTGAGTGATACGGATTGGCTTGATCGAAAGCAGCCTCTGATTTACAATTAAATACATTATGCTGTGTTACAATATAGCTTGGCATATGAGTGTGGTATAACTAGACATGAAAAGTACATTTCTACAAAACTGCTACATATTCCAGTGAATCATAATTATGTATTTCTGTTAAAAAATAGGCTACTGATCTAATATCAACCTGAAATAAGAGGGAAATTATTCTAGAAGATTATTCATAAACTATGATTGAGCAAAACTATATGTATTGTGAGAATATTTAGCTGAAGATTCACAGGTCAAAATAGAGGTCAATTGAAAGAAAAATTACTCCTGAGCAAACCCAGAGAATCTCAATGCTAGGAAGGCTGGATGGTCCGACTTTGAATAATAGATATGTAAAAATAGCAGTGAATCTAATATGGCTGACAGATTGTCTTAAGAACGGTTGCTATGCTTGTCTCAGACAGATTCATTTACCTTGGTATGACACACTACATACAATATTGGTTTGGAAGATCTAAACTATTAATTAGAACAAAGAAATCTGCAAACTACTTTTACTGGTGAAATTAAAAAATATCAAGCTTTGTTTGTTGTGAATCCAATTCTGCAAAAACAAATTATAAAGAAAAGAAAAAAAAACTGCTTGTTCATATATAAATACTCAGATGCCACATTTACAAATAGTTTTCTAGACATTATATATTATACACGGTTTGACATTGTACCTTATTAAATACATTTAAATAACTTTTATATTTTTGTTCGAATCACTTTCTTTGTTCAAAATATGGTAGAGGCAAAATTGTGGTGGAGTGAGGATGTGGAAGCATACAATGACAATCATTTTGTTCAGCACGTTGAAACATTGCAGCCGCCATGAACATTGTGTCCTGTTTGATATGGAAGTCGCATGTGACATATAGAATACGTTAAAATGCATGGTTCAAATGTGCATTGTATAATGACCGAGTTGGTTAATGATTGCTGGGATTAGCTAAGATATCTGATTGAATGCCAACTACTCAGTGGAACACGTTGGTTGCCAGTGTCCTACTTGAAAAAAGAATTAAAAGTGGCTAATTAATAGTGTTTCAGAATGAAATGAGTGATTGCCAAACGAATGCAGTTCTGTTCCATTAAGAAAACGTATCCTGTATTTGCTGTGTCAGAAATATGTTTCCAATAGAAATGCACATAAACAAAAAGGTAGGGTTACTTGTATACTGCATCATTAAAATATTTTGAATATAGACATACATCTATCATTAACATACTGGTAAGTTCATGCACTACTAGTACAGGTTGTCAATGAAAAAAGCAGTCATTTACCATTAACCAATGGTATTTCATAATGCAAAGTACTGAATAGGGTTAATTATTCACTGGGTTTTAATTTTGCTTATTTCGCTAAAATGAAAATGCGCTAAATTAAAACTCAGTGTGTATGTGTAATTTAGCATAGAACACATTATCTAAATGATAAAACCGTCAATTTAAAACTGCCTGAATATGCCTGAAATGGTAAATCAGCGAAATTTAAACCCAGTGAAAATTAGTCATTTTACAGTAGTCCAATTCAAGGAATGCAATGGTCACTCGTGCATCACTCTAGTAAACCTGAATAATGTTGAGCCTACCATTCATTACTTAATATACTGTGGTACTAATGCATGTGACAAATGCACAAGACACTTTCATTCTCAGGATCAAACAAAACTTTCTACAGGTGGTAATACACTATATGGCAAAATTATAATCAATTCGCTTTTTTTTTTGATTTTAGGATTCTTGAACATTAAAGTGAAAGATTGTAAATTCTGTATTCTACAGGGCGCTGTTACTACTCCCATCATGCATTGCACTAGCAGTAAAATGGCTACTGCTTAATTTAAACTGTGTGTACGGTCTCACACTAAAATAATACTCTCAGTAGAAAATGCATATTTCTAACTTTTTTTCAAAATTTAAAAGATCATTCTCATTAGTTTTTAAAGAGGAAGCAGTATCACTACAGTAACAATATTTCAAAAACCACAAGATGAAGTCAAACCAACAAGACTAATGCTGGCAACATTAAAGCGAGGGAGTCATCACCTTCACAAACAAGCATTTACCCATGAGCGTTTTTAGCGTGTGTTGTTATCATCGCTTAGGACTCAATTCCCGCATGCGCAGGTGATGAACCTCCCACTTTAAGCCATGCAAGTAATCACAGTGGATATCGATTTCCCCTATTACCCAAACAAATCAGTTGTCGCTTGAATGTCTCAAATCAGAAATGTAATAAAACAACAAATACTAGCATGGCATCCCATACAGTGAAAAGTTAGAAAAAAAGAAAGAAGAGAATTATCAGTATCTATATGACCTTGTGCCTGGAAGCATTAATAATAGTGTGAAATATGTATCTACCCACAAGTTGTTATATTTTCAAACTTGCATTGTTTGTCATAAGCTATATCTGGGCCATCTGAGAAGAGAAGGAGGGGGAGGGAAGTACCTTTATTATTACATGCATATACAAGTATTGGTTTGATCACTAATCCATTAACTTGCAAAATTCATTGGTGCTAATTTGGAATCAAGTTAAACGAGTTCTCAGGGAAATTAACTCGGGCAATGCCTGGCAATGATTTATTTCTAAGACCTTTCATGGTTTCTACAACAGATATATTAGTGTGATAACATTTTGCCAATACGATGTACAAACCGGGATAATATATTCTTTCAGGGATCCTATATAAAGAGACTTTAAACATGCATGTATCCCAACAAATTATCAACAGTGCCCTCTAATGACCAGATACAGAAATGGTAACAGTGCCATCTACCGGGGGCGGTAGTATCTGAGTGGAAAAAAATGAGTGCCCTCTATTGACCAGATGGAGAGATTTTATAGGCAGTGCCCTCTGGTGACCAGATGGAGATGTTATTAATAGTGCCCTTCAGTGACCAAACAAAAAGATTTTATAAGCAATGCCCTCTAGTGTCCAGATGGAGAGATTTTATAGGCAGTGCCCTCTAGTGTCCATATATAGAAATGCTTTACTGACCAATAACTTAATGGTACTAAAGATTTATACTCCAGCAAACAAATATTATTGATCAGGAAAAAAAAGTACTTAATTTGTGGTTTCAGTCTTTGAAATCGGACAATATCCAGGAAGGTTGTGGAAGAGACCATTTTTGTGAGAAGCATAGGGTGCACAATAAATGAGAGACGTGAACACAAAAACAAATACTTGTAAAACACAAGACCACATACAAGAGAAAGATATAGAGCAATCTAATAGCTAAGACAAAAAGCGCATAAGATACAAAATATAGGGGTCATGAAATGACAATTTTAGAGGATAACGTCGGAATGATAAGATTGTAAATTTGGTATATAGTAACAATGCAAAGAGTACTCCAGAAATATAATACATCTTAAATATTCACAAAAATTACCCTTCAGCTTGATATCTTGTTCCATTCTACAACCCTACCACATCTCATGTGAAGTTTGACGTTTGACCTTTGATCTAAGTTATGCGACTTTTTGCGACTTGCATGATATCCACTTTTCAAAACTGCCCATGCTACAATACTAAGTAGCATTGAAAAGTCCTGACCCCTAGATGACCCTTGACCTCACATGAACTGTGTACCCCCACTTGGGTCACATTGCAGTAATCTAACTATGGAAGGGTCATTTTTTGCTCCACTAATAAATTCTTCCAGTGACAGTTTTCCATCCGAGTTCTTGTCCATTTGCCGAAATATCTTATCTGTTCTCTTCTCTGGAGTGGATTCATCTTCTGGCATTTTCATTACAGTTCCTACCATCTTATAAATAGCCTATAGTAGCAAAAAAAAACAATATCAGTGATAATATAAATAATAAATAATAACAGAGGTACATTACTTGGGGTTTGCAACGCACATAGTACTGTATGATGACATCATGTCAAGATCCCATTCAAGTCTCATCTCGTAGTTAGCGAGACTGATGCTACTACCTTCTGACATGACATAGGCGGTTTGTAATAAAACAATAAAACACGTATTACCACATTTATAGTGAAAAAATGTAATACATCGAAAATATACAAAAAATATAGTTATCGTAATCCGTCATATTGTGAGCAGCTATTTTGATTCACCTGGACATCCCAGTATCCTAGTTACCTCGGGCATGCGCATTCGCATTTTTCTGAGTTGGAACGCTTATGCGAGCGCGAGATTGTAACGGGATCTTGGTATCATGTCACCGTAGTTGCAAACCCCAAGTAATGTGCCTCTGATAATAAGCATAAGTATAAGGGTATTTACTGAACTTTGGCCCAAGATATAATAAAATAAAAATGA